AAAGAGTCTGTATCGCCTCGGGCCAAGCCTCTCATAACGCCTGGATGGGATGCTAGTCCATCGCAGTGCTACCCCCAGCATTAAATTCGTCGCACCCATTTTTACACCCGGGTGAAAAGAGGCACCAAGAGAGTTTAGAGTCTTGCCCAAGAACACAACACAATGTCACCGGCTAGGGCTAGAACCCACACAGTTCGATTTGGATTCGAACCCGATCAGCATTAGGCCACTGCGCCCCACACAATGTATCTGTGCGTTATTTTATTTCCATGTTTATGAATAAAGGGTAGCAAAGGACAAGCTTCAAGGTACTCAAGCTACAACTAAGTAGACCTTTTAAGGTACTCGTTTCAAACCTTAATTAACGTTGTACTTTACAGCTATAAGTTTTGAGGGCTGTAACATGAACTTATTTGTGTAAATCTCTTTTTTCCTGCAGTGAAATACATATAAAATGCTCTCAAGTTCCAGTTTCGCTCAGCTTGCAAGTGCTCTAACGTACTGTCTGAAAAAAGAAGGAAATCCCTAGTCTAGCTACAAGATTGACAAGGGAATACTGAACTATGATGACAGCGAGATCAACATTCTAACTAAAACCGTGATCAGTTTCTCGTTGATAACTGCTTACAGTTGACTTACAACATCTTGCAAAAATTTTAAAAGAAATCAAAAACAAGAAAAATTCTTGACTTATAAAAGTAATTGGCTTCTATCGAAACAGTTATCCTCTGTCGAAGGGCAAGAGGAATACTTTATTGATTGTCAACTAGAGGTCGATGTAACGTAAACTAAACGCCGCACCGAGTTTCTACAAGCTGCTCCGACAAAGGGCTATAGCTAGCGCTTAAAACTCTGGCGCAGCTTTTTCAAATTTGGTGCGACGGTTAATTTACCTTGATTAACTTTAAGGCGAAGATCACTAACTTAGCCTGTCTTTACACACCATGTCAATATATGCACTCCGTTTTCTTTCACGTGTCTTGCGAGGTTCTTTAGTCCCAATGTAGAAAATGTTTGCGAAAAGGATTCCTGTTCCAGTTGCAATCCAAGAGAGATACTGTAAGATAGAGAGAAGATGCAAATAGCGACATATTCAGACGGTCAAATAGGTAACCATGAGTACCATTAAGGAGCTATACGTTAAGCTTAGAACTACAAGAAGACTATTCATAGTTGACATAGTCGTTCTTTTCCCAACGCTTTCAGTTGTGATGCTGTAGTGCTGACCGGACCTTAACTGGCAAACATAGATTCAGAGCACTTCAGTTAAAACACTGAAAAAGAAAGTGCTCCATAACTGTATTCAGCTGAACCTTCATAGTTTTGAGGAGTTGGTAGAATTATACCCTTGAGGTGAAGCCTACATCTGGACTCTTACCATTCTGTCTGCTCTAGACTCTCTGCGTCCTTGTTAGCGCTAAACATGGACGTTTTTTTAAATTAAAAAAATCAACTAATTAGTTTACTAACCGCAAAATCTGATAGGTGTATAGGCCCCAGACTATCTCCACTGTCTTGTCCAAGAAGAGCCCATGCGATGACGTAAACATAAACACCACTCGCGAAGGTAAACATTGTACTAGTTATTAGATCAAACGAAAAAGGACTGATTACACATCAAGAGCGATACATTGTCTGTACAATAGTAAGTGCATGTGCGACAGTAAGTCGTCGACGTGCAGAAAATTAGTTTGCTACAATCGTTAACAATTAGATTCTGTACTGGAAATTTCAATCACGCGTGGAAATCGGGAGCGAATAATCGAATTGTTTTAATATAAATCTACTCATCGTTCAAAACTCAACTAGTAAATTACCTAGATCCTCTTCACAAACGATTCGAAAACGCAAAGGAGAGGTCACCATTTTGTTAACAACCGCAC